TCTTTTTATTGTTGGGTCAAGTTTTGAGAGAGAAATGAAGGAGAGAGAAACTTTAAGTCGTTACCCTTGGGCTTAAGGTAAATCTCTTTCTCTCTATTCTCTTCTTCTCTTTCTCCTCCTTCGTCTGAGTTTTTCTCAGAAGCCATGCACGGTAGTGGCAGTGCCGTGCATGCCTCTTTCTTTCCTTTCAAGTGGTTTTGCAGGTCGTGCATGGCGATGGCTGCGCCATGGGCGAGTTTCTTTCCCCCTCTCTTCATTCATCTCTATCTCTCAACGAAGTTCGCAGATGGTGTCGTTCATCGTTGTCCACATGCATATCCTCGACGTCCCGTGTAAGCACAGACGGCGATGCCTATTGCTGCCCGCAGGGGTCTCATCCTATTGCGCGCATATTGCAGACGGCGTTGCCTATCGCCGCCTGTGAAGGGTTGCAGCAATACCTATCGCCGTCCGCGAGCTTCTCTCTTACGCCCTGTGCCTATCGCAAACGACGATGCCTATTGCTGCCCGCGAAGGGTCGCGACGATGCCTATCGCCATCCGCAGGTATCTTTTGTGTGCTTGATGCCTATCGCCATCCGCAGGCTTCTTTCGTGCGCTCAGTGTCTATCACCGTCTGCAAGCTTCTTTCGTGCGCTCTGTGCCTATCGCCATCTGCGAGCTTCTTTCATGCGCTCAGTGCCTATCACCATCCGCTAGTTTCTTTTGTGTTCTCGGTGCCTATCGCCATCAGCAGGCTTTTCTCGTGCCCCACTTCGATCGCTATGCACTTCGCAAGAAGCTATTGCCGCCTACGGAGGGATGTGCTGCCTTCTTGTGTTGCCAACGGTGATGCCTAGCACCATCTGAAGTTCGCTTCCTGCCCCTTTCGTGGTGAGCAACAGTATACTCCACGGCCGTGGAAGGAGATCTTAACACCGTCGGGACCCTTCCTCTTCGCCGTCTCGCACTTTCTCTTTGTTCTCTTTTCTTCTCTTTTCTCCTCATTTTTGCTTGACTAAAGGACATACTTAGTTTAACACTGTCATAGTGGTCTGGCTGTCGAGTAGTATTGCCATTGTGCTGGTCCTGAGTACCATGCCCGTCTTGCTGCCACACCAAATTAGGATAGTCATACAGACCTTGGTTTCAAGTAGTATCGTAGTTTCGCCGGTCTGCGTTACCGTGCCAGTCTCGCTACCATTCCGAGTCGGTCACTATGCTGGTCCAACCATTGTGCTAGTCTCATCCCCTTATCAAGTCCTCTCCTGTTTTCTTTCTTTATTCAAACCTTCTTTTTCATCACCATAACTTCTCATCTTATATGAATATGTATTGCCTTAAGACAATGATGGGTCCTTCGGCCCACTTGTCTTGCAAGTTAACTATGATAGTGTTGTGCGGAAAACAAGGAGATTGTAGGTCAAGGGAGGCAATTCTGAACTAGTTGAAGCGGCTGGGGGCTTTCCGTCGTAATCTAAGAGGGCTCTCACGCGATTCTGTTCGAGTAAGTCACGAACCCAAGTGAGGTTGGTCCCCACCTCACAAATAAAATTCCTATCTCACTATTTGGGAACTTGCCCTTGTTCTGTGAACAAGGTACCCGAGATAGAGATATCAGGTCCCAGGTCTTCTGAACCCAAGACACGTGTCACCCGATCACCTAGATCTGGGTAGGCGAGGTCGAGGCATCCGACCATGTCTATTTTCAAAACTTTCATGCATTAATAGATCTAATTGATTTGAACCATTTTTGGAGTTCAAAATTTTGTAAGTAGAGATAAAAATTGATTCTCACACCATCTTAAGAATTTTTTACACTAAAATTACATCTCAGGACAACATTTGCAGGTGCACCTTAATTTGATTGTTTAAAGTTGAAACCTTAGCAAAATTTCCTTTTGGCACTATAAATGGATAGGTGATGTCCCTTTGAAGCTTACTTATCCGGAACGTTTTACTAATGTTTCGTAACCTAATCCTAAGGTTTCTGATATGGTTGAAGTGAGTGGTTTCCGAGCTGCTTGGAGTATTAATTTCCCGTATAATAGGCTGAGTGAAGATACGTATCTTCAATGGAAAGATTTGATGGGTATCTTGGATTGGGTTTATATTTTTCAGGGATATGGATGAAGTGATTTGGGAAGTTTAATGTGATGGGTCTTCTCGTCAAGTCATGTTATAGGCTCTTCTTCCACGATATATGGAGATGGTCTTTACCTGTTGGAGCGACAGTGTGGAAATGACATGTTCCCCATAAGGTGTAGGTGTTTTTATGGTTAGCTATTCAAAATAAAACTTTGACGGTGGATAACTTGATTAAGAGGTGTAAAGTTTTATCTAACATTTGTTTGGCAGCTTTGGAGAGGTCATCTTCTCATATGCTGGCCCTATTGGTTTAGCGACGGCTAACCAATCGGAGTTATTGGCTTTGCTCCAAGGAATTAAAATTATTATCTCTAGAAACCTTGGGGATAGCTACATTATTGAATGGGACTCTTTGAACACAATTAGATGGTGCAAGAAGGAGCTGCGAACTCCTTGGAAACTGAGGTCTAGTTGGTTGTAGATTATGGATTTGGTGGCTCCACTCTCAATTTCGTTTTGCCATATTTATCGTGAGGCGAATTCTTTGGCTGACTCTCTTGCTAAAGGAGGGGCTTCTTGCCCACTCTAGCTATTTCTTCTGATGTAATTTATTTTGAGTAGATTTGTTTAATAAAGTAAGGAATATTTGTCAAAAAAAAAAAAAAAAGTTGAAACCTTATACAAACCATAACTTTTTTTTAAAAAAACTTATTCAAAGGACCCACACCTTGCTATATTCATTATTTTAATTTCCTAAATGATTGTATAATCATATTGTTAGTTATTTGCTTATTAAAAAGGACCTCAAATAGTTTTATTTCAGCATGTGTATAAGGAAGCAAATGACATTGCTGATGGATTGGCAAAACGAGGAGTTACTTTGCAATATACTCTAATTTATGATATGCTATTCTCTAGAGAGATTGTAATTCCTGATTGATTAATAAAGTTAAAGTAATCTCGTCAAAAAAAAAAAAAAGAGTTTGAAAGGAACAATGATATCTTTGAAACCCCGATTTAGATAGTGACGAATATGCATTTTTTCTTGGTAAAGATGGTGAGCTTTAGGCTAAGGGCGAATATCATATTTTTATCATATGATTCTTAAATTCATCTCGACTTTGACAATTACAGATCTAATAAATGAATTTAAAGCCTCAAATCTCATCAATTGTGTATGATTGCCATGTAGGTTCTTTCGTTTTATTATTCTCCTTCGGGAGTATATTGTTTATTTGCTCCCTCAAGTAAAACTGCACCTAAGATTAATTTACAGAACCCAAAGTTTGGGGAGATAAACCTCTTCAACCCATAGATTAACTTTGATAAAAAAAAGTTCTAAATGCACCTTCTACGCAATTGACAAAAGAAATTACCTCGAGATTGAATAGACACCATCCATTTTTTAAAGGGTGACATCTAAGTATTAGAAAACTCAAATTTTAACTTTCGAAAATAATTATCTAGTAAGTAGTTCTCAAATTTTTAAATTTAACCAAAATATATTTAAGGAGTGTGTGGGGTTTTATGACTTGCCCGTTATTGGCGGACAATAATACAACTTAAGGAAGAAAAAAAACACCGCGGGGAAGAGGTACTTCTCATAATTTAAGAAAAAAAATCAAACACAAAAGATGTCCGTCTGTTAAAATTCCAAAAAGAAGTGACTTAGGATTCCAGACTGCGTAGGTCTACTTGCATGTCATGTGACGTGTGTCAGTAGACAGCAACATCGCATAAATTTTTTGCAAGACTTTCTTTGATTTGAATGGAGAGCGCGAGAGGCACCACACATATGTCCCCTTTTTTTTTTTTTTTTTTTTTGTACAGGAGTACTTTATATTATTTGATCAAAAGAATTATTACAAAAAAAAAAAAGTAAAAAGTTTATATAAGGTTGCAATCTTAAAATAATTACAGGTGCATCTGAAAATCCATCGGAAAATATTGTTTTAATATCGTAAAAACCTTTAATTGATCATCTCAACATCGAGATATATGAATATGAAAGAAAAAAATGAATTTGAGTCTTAAAAGTAATGCAACTTGTAATATATTATCTAGACCGTCCATTTTGAAGATTTTTATGTGTTTATAGATTTGTTTGATTTTAACTATTTTTGAAATTTAAAATTTTATAATTAGATATGAAAATAGATTTTGAGATAATCCTAAAAAAAATTTCACCAAAATCACATGTTATGATAAATTTGGAGGTGTGTCTGGGATTGTTTAAAGTTGCAACATTATAAAAACCACACCCTATTACAAATGTCATGCCACAGTTAGAACAAAAACTAATACCCATGTGGGTACCTCTCGAGCCTAGACTATGCATGTGAAACCGTAGTTAGAGGTCCCGACCTCTAAGTTAGAACTTCTTATAGCTGTTTGTTATCGGGTCGACCCCAACCTGACCCGATAGGATCCATGCCGAACCTAGACCCAACCTACCCAGGTCCAAAATATGGACTAGAACTCGGAATTGGTTCGGGATGATGCAACCTAATTGTCACCCCTACAATTTCCACGTGAATGAGATTGAATCTAGGCTTATATGCATACCACATGTAGGGTGATTTTTCATTTTCATTCTTTATAAATAGGAAAAAGTTTATATAAGTGCGAGGCTAAAAACAATCAAATTAGTCACACCTCAAAAATTTCACTAGAAGAGGTTGCTTTAATGCCTAAAATTTCTTCAAATTGATCATCTCGACCTCAAGATGCGTGGACATGAGAAAAAAGTGGATTTCCAGTTTTGAAAATAGTGCATCTTGTAATATATTTTTGGATAGTTAATTTTCAAGATTTTCAAGTTTTTTTATATCTGCTCGATCTACACTATTTTTTAAATTTTATAGTTAGAGATGAAATATATTTTTAGCTATCACAAACATTTTCAGTATTGAAACCACATTTATCGATACCATTTGAAGGTGCTCTTTACTTCAATGATTTAGAGCTCCGGCTAAATACAAACCACACCCTTAATAATATGGCATTGCTGGTTTTCAACAAACTCCCTTTGTCTTACTACCACTTACATGTATCTTCTTCCACTCCTTATCCCCGCCATGGATCCCTTTCACTATGGCACTGACTTTAGTTTCTTCTCCAACTTCCTCTGGCTTAACCTCAATTTTAAGCACAAGGTGAGGGATGGACTTTGTCACTGAGGCTTCTAACTCCTGTAAGGCCATTCCCACGTGTGAAACAAGCCTCTCTGCAAGGCCTCGGCCCAGGTCTTCGCGCACAACCACACGTAGAACGACTATATGTTGAACATCTGCAGGCAATGTGTACGCCGGGACGATCCAGCCAAACCTTCTGAGGGTCTTTGAGAGCTCAAAAGCCATAGTTGCCCTCTCAGGGTCCTTGAAAGAGAAGGCAACCACTGGAACACCCTTCTCCTTAGAGATTATGTCGAATTGTCTCGTTTTCTCTACCCCTTCTCTCACTATCCTCGCGCTCTCGTGACAGTTCTCCATCACCTTCTTGTAACCCTTCATGAAAAAACAATGGTTTCTGGTAGTTTGTCATTTAAGTTTTTTTTTTTTCCCTCTTTTTTTTCTTTTTTAGTGCTGTTTTGCTACATGGTTTCAACAAATATTTATGTTGCAGGTGCAGGAAAAAGGATTAACTTTGAAAACTAGTTGGGGAAAGGATTGAGGAAACATGTTAATTTTTATTCGAGGAAGAAATGGTTGAATGAAAAAAGAAAAAAAAAAAACAGATATTGGACCATCGTGGACCATAATTTAAACTTTATTTTTTTCTATATAGTTTATTAAGTTCAAATTTTAGCTATCCATACTTCTTACCATCATGGACATGTATAAAACATATGGCAATGATTTTATATAAATAAAACAACCAAAATGCCACTAAAATATTGGCATATATTTTGGTGCTCTTTTCTATATTATATATTATTAAGCAAGAGTTAACGAATGGGCACGTGTTGTAAAAAGAAAAAAGAGCCTTAATTTTAGAGTAGATGTAGGGCACATCACTTCTAAATTAAAAAAGGCTTAGAGTAGCTAATCCCTATCTTTAAAAGAGAGAGTATGTGGAAAAGAGAGAGATGTGAGAGAGAAAGTAAAAAAGGAGATGAAGATATCTACAGATTTTAGAATGAAGGTATACATGCTAATAAGGAGGAGCTACAAGTGTTTCCTATCAATATAATATTTATTAGTTATCTATATCTTAAGAAGAGATAAAGGAAAAATAACCAATTTTATTTTGAATTATCATCTCTATATATAATAGGGAAAATTACATACATATCCGTTATAATTTCCGTTATTACGGCTCGACCGAATAGTTACGGTTATTACCTCCATGTCCATTTTCTCATTTCAAAAGGGAACTTTTTTTAAAAAAAAATGACTTTACTTGTTTTTTTTAAAGTATTTTCGGTGGTTCAACAATTGAAAATACACTGATTTCGGTTCTTGTAGAAAATTTTAAATTTTCGGTTCTTCAAGAATGGAAAAATATTTTCTCTTGCTTGTGGAGTATTTTCTCTATCTTTCTGAAGTCATAGTTATCCGATAAAATCAAAGGAGAACGACTAGTTTGAGCCCCTAATTTAGGTGAAATCCTGGAGATTAGGAGAAATCTTGGGGATTATGAGATTATAAGATTAAGATAAATCTTGTGGCGTATTCTCTCTCTACTTCTTTGAAGTCATGGTTATCTGATAAACAACTCGTTTGAGCCCCTAAATTTAGGAGGAATCTCAGGGATTATGAACTTACCAAAAGAGAAAGGAGGAATCTCAGGGATTATGAACTTACCAAAAGAGACAAAGCCGAAATTGGCCATAGCTAAAAATACTTTGTATTAGAGCTATAATAACGGAAACTATAACGGATATGTATGTAATTTTTCCTATATAAAAATTATGGACCATTAATTAGATATACATGTAAGCTATATCTATAGGGATTTTATTCTCTCTCCTCTCTCTACAAATTCTCTCCTCTTATTTATTCTCTTTCTTTCACCACCAACGTATGTATGCTTTAATGATATCTCTCTTACCTTATTAGCTCTCTTACTTATTTATTAATTGAATATGCATGCAAACTATATTTACGGAGATTTCTCTCTCTCTCTCTCCATCTTTATGTATATATATATAAAAGGGAAAGAGTTCTATGTTTTCTCTACAACATAAAACTTATATACTTCCCTTTATCCAACCCATTCTGAATGGAGGACTAAGATTGCCCCAATCACAATATCACGTCTCTACACTATTTTATTTTTAATTTATTTTTTATAAACTATTTTGACACCAAAATTTGGACGTCTAATCCTCTATTAAACTCGCACTAGCAAAAAGTATAAAAATAATATTTCCAATAAAATGAAATGATCAAAATACCCTTGAAAGATTCAAGGGGTATTTTAGTTATTATATTTTATCGAAAAAAAATATTTTTCATATTTTTTATAGATGCACCCCAATGAGAATATGCCACGTACCAAATTTCATATTTATATAATTTGTATAAAAAAAACTAAAAAAAAAATACTTTGAGACGTCGGATCTAAGATCAAACAGTGAGTGACTCTCTTGATCAAAATTAGACCCCTGGATGGTAGGGGAAGCATAGATCTCTTGATCAAAATTAGACCCCTGGATGGTAGGGGAAGCATAGATCTCTTGATCAAAATTAGACTGCTGGATGGTAGGGGAAGCATAGATCTTCTGTAGGGGAAGTATAGAAACCTTTCCCTCTATATAATTGCTTTCTCCCTTTCTCACTCTCTTCTCCTAATGTGATCTCTCTCCCTGTCTCTCTCAACGTGGTTACTCTCTTTCTTTCTCTCAACGTGGTGTTTCTTTTATTTAATTTTGGATATTTCTTTCTCTAGGTTTGTAAAAATCAAGCTATCAATGGTTCATAGTAGACATATACTTTTTTTCCCCTTCTTTTGCTTTGTTTATTTTATTTTAATTATTCATGCAATTAGATGATATTTTCCCCTTCGTTTGCTTCTTCTTCTTTTTTTTTAAAATTATTCATGCAATTAGATGAAATAACAATGTACAAGTTTTGTTATTGCAGTAGTCATGATGGCCATAAACAGCCATAAAACATCGTTTTTTGGTGTCAAAATTACTTATCTATCTTTTGTTATCTTTCTCTCTTTGCTGCATAGTCCTCCTTACTCCCAATTAGGTAGGTGTCTTTTGCTTTTTCCTTGGTATCGATATTTGTAACAATTTAGTTATCCTTGGTATCAATATTTGTAGCAATTTATTTATTAGTAATTTCTCCATATAGCAAGGATTCATTAGTTTTAGTGTGATTCTCTACTGGAGAAAGGTTAATACCTAATTTTTTACATAGAAATTTTCAATTGCAATATTTTTTAGGTATTATTTACAATTGGATGAAGCTTAGCAAAGTCCATATTGAAAGTGAGTCATAGTGATTCTTTTTATTTAATTTTTTCCTTCATTTCTGTTTGTCCTATTGAAGGTAAGTTGTAGTATGTCTTTTATTTTTGCATTACCTATGTTTGTATTTTTCTTAGGTGTTCTTCATGCTTTTTACATGATCTTATTTAGCAGATGTTCTATTTGAAGTAAAAAATAATAAACAAAAATTATAAACAATTAAAATAATTTCAAATTTTTATTCTAGTTCACAATTTTAATGAGTTTTCCACATAAATATTATTTTTTTATGTTTACAATGAGAAATACATTAATCTTTAAAGGTAAGAAAAACTTTGCTTTTTCCAAGGTATGTAATTATGTTTTAAAATATCTTTAGCATTTGCTTTGAATTAGTTTGTACATGATATTATTTTTCGGATGTTCTAATCCCATGGTCTCAAAACCTACTTTTACAAATCTCTTTGGGAAGAGAAGAAAGGTTAGTACCTATTTTTTTACATATAAATTTTCAATTGCAATATTTTTCAGGTATGATTTACCATTGGATGAAGCTTGACAAAGTCTATACTGAAGTTAAGTCATCATGATTCTTTGTATTTAATTTTTCTATTATCTTTGTTTGTATTTTTAGGTGTGCATATTGAAGGTAAGTCAAAGTATTTTTTTCTTTTTTTCTTTTTTGTATTGCCTATATTTGTATTTTTTGGGTGTGTGAAGATTGAGAAACACATTCATCTTTGTATGTAATTATTTTTTAAAAATATCATAACAATCTGCTCTAAATTAATTTGTACTTGATCCATGTTTTGTATATGGAGTTTTTGTTTTAGTAAGGGCAGTTTTGGTAATTAAAAGGGGTGTGATATAACTCACATGGAGCATTAAGTGTTATTAGTGTGCATGTTACATACCATGTGGATGACATCATACTTTTCTTAATGACCAAAATTACCCTTATTAAAAAAAATGCTTCATTTATAAAACAAGGCTTACAAACGTATAATGTTCAAAATTGTTAAATACATTGATATATATATATATATATATATATATAAGGCTTTGTTAAGCTACACCACTTGTGGTGTATATCTTTAAATACCCTTGAAGTGTAAATCAAAATTTTTCAAGTAGGGGCTTTTTCAAGTAGGAGCATTTTTGGTCATTTAGAAGTGTAGAATAGATATTTCTATAAGAAAATAATGGCATTCTATTAATAGTTAAAAATAATTAATACATCTTGGGGGTTGTAATCGTCCACTATTATTAATAAATACTTTTGTTTCTATTAGAAATTTCTATTTGACATTTGACTAATTACTTAAAATATACCTAGACAAAAAGTTACTACACTATAGGATAAAGTATCTAAGTGTCTAAACATATTGAGGACTTTAAGAGCATATATATATATATATATATATATAAAAGATGCTACTGTACGCCGACGAGTGTACCTGTAAGAATACATACAACGGCCCAGATTCATAACTGCCTAGATTGAAACTAGGCAGATCTGACAGTCTCAAGATGACCACGACCTCATTTTGTGTTTGAATTTTAATTTTTTTTTATAAATCCAAATCACTTGAAATTTTAGGTGCATATTTTTAAAAAATAGAAGAATATAATAAAAATACCAAAAAATTATTTTACATTAAATAAATTATCAAAAATATCCCCGAAACATTTCGAAGGTATTTTGGTTAATTTATTTTTTTGCGAATTATTTTTTTGATTTTTTATTAGGTGGGCCTTGATGAGAAGAACGCATGCCTAAAATTTCAAGTGATTTGGATTTGTAAAAAAAAATTAAAATTTAAATACGAAATGAGATTGTGGCGGTCTCGTGATCATAGATCGGCCCAAATTCTATATGGGTTGTTGGGCGTATTCTTACAGGTACACCC